CATTCCTGAAAGAATAAGGACTTTTGGGAGGGTCTCTAGATGTGGATTCACACGAATCCCATAAAAGATCTAGCATTTTGCCTTAGCATTGCTGTACTGCATTGTTTTCCTTAAGTAAAATATTGCTATATAGTTGCAGAGAGACCCTGCAAATCCAGCTAATTCTCATGATTGATTAGCACATTGAGGGAGCAAAAGTAAAAGGTGTTCTTAAGTAGAACAGAGGTGGCTATAAAAAAAGTACCCTAGAACACTTGATTTCTAATGTATAAACCATTAACCATTTTTTATAGGCTCCCTATATATTTTATCTGCATTTTGCAATATTGCTGACAGCTGTTTCAGCTGTCATCTTTAAATACTGGCTATGGATTTTTCTGCTGTCCTTAGCAGCCTTTTGTGCCTTCTAGAGTACCGTCTGTGTGAGCGAAGCAGACAGATGAGGGTTGTGGTTTTGTGTATCAGTTTGGTATTAATACGTATTCTGCACTGATTAAGTCTCTCTCAATCTGTATCTGCAGTTGACATGGTCATTTTGGGGGAAGAAGGTGGTGGGATGTAGTAACATCTAATGAATTTTCACAGGAAGGCAAAGGAATAAGATGTGTTTTGGAGGTGATTTCATAAAGGAAGTAGCACTGTAGAAATGTATGTGACCTGAATATGGCTCACTATCACATTAGTTGGTGTAATAGATTATAATATAGAAGTGAAATGCTTTTGGATCCCCAGGACAGACTCAGATGCAGACTACAGGGTGTGTTGTGTACAAGGTTGTCAGTGACATGATTCGTCAGCCCTTTCTTAGGAGGTGTACAGAAAGCTTTGAAGAGAATGGGGTTTAGTGCTTCCAGTAACTTCTTCCTTGATGCATGAAATTACTATTATTGAAAAGCATTGGGACTGCAGAATGGCATGATGTTTCTGTCTGCATCAGTGGTTCTTAAGATGAATTTTCTTTGAATCCATTCTAATGCCTTACATCTTGCACACTTATAGAAGTGAAAATCTTGAAACAGCATTGGGGAGAATTACTCTTTACTACTTACGCTATGGGTGTGGCTACTGGTCTTAAATTCTCCTTTCTATCCAATTCTGTGTTTTGGTTTTCTTTACCCTGTCTAGGACTTGTTACATATGATCATCCAGTCTCCCTTTCAACCATTCTGTCCATGGCCCTTTCTTGCCTTTGCTATCTGCTCTTAATTTGGGGATAGTCTATGACTTTATTCGTAGCTCAGTTTTCCCCAAAGGAACGCAGCAGTTCTAAAGTAGCTTTTTGACCTCCAAGACTTGCCCCCCGCCCCATCCCTGGTTTCCTTCTTCCTACCCTCAACTTGTAATTCTGTGGCTCATGGGGGAAGAAGTCTAAATGCTAAATATCTTGGGGCTGGATCAAGCTATGGGGTTGTTAATAAATGTCTTATTAGCCTGGCAGCAGTGGAATGGACTGCCTGGCCATCCTGTTTTATGGTTCGGGACCACTAATCTGTGTTGCTTATCTGTTCCCGAATTAAAAAAATCAGTAGGACTTAATAGCTCTGATAACAGACTGAAAGTAAATGTTGGGTGGTTTGGTCGTGCCCAGGATGAGCTTTGTAGCTCCTCTTTGCTTTAATGAACTTCAGTTCCAGATTGTAAATGGTGGAATATGTGATTTGTTCCTTTTCATGCTCCATAGATATTTAAGATGGCCGTAGTTTTAATGTGTAATAATGTATTTAATGTACGAAGTCTCAGCAGAGTGCATGCGTAGCAGGTAAATGCTGAACATTCATTCTACTGTTTAACTACTCAACATAGAAATATTACATTTGCCTCATGGATTAAGATTAGTTAGTATGGCCATGATATGATGCACAGGACTCCAACTCGGTTAGAAGCTATAAAAACTGCATCGGAAAGCCCACATGCATTAGCATATCCACTGGCATAACCAGTGGCTGTCTCAGCAGTTACTCCTTTGAGCAAAATGAGTTGAATTTGAAATAGGGTGGTGGAAGGCATCAGTTATATCTGCTGCTTCACTGGAGCAATAGTTTCAATACAAGAAACTTCCGCTAAGTCACACTGACAGGGCAGCTCATTGTAAAGAATGTTATCTCGTGCTTGTGTGTCATTGCTGTAAAGAAATTCATTGCCCACCTCTTTCGACAACTCCAGCTTTTTTAATATCTCATACTTCTAAGAAAAAAAAAAGCTTAATGTTGATATCCTGCAGTACTTTGCCATTAAATCTTGCCAATGCAAATGGGCTATAAGCGTTGTTTTTACTGTAAATGCTTGATTTGTACAAAAGGATATTGAAGATTAAGCTTTGTAGACATTTAACCATTCCCTGTAATGCTTTGTGAAGTAAATAACTTACCTGTTTTAGTATTATCATTTCATGAGCTGTTTGGCTGTAAGCAGTGTGCTGCCATGAAGGAGGAGTTGGGGCACAGGGGGCGATAGCAATATGTTTTGGCTCAGGGAACTCGAACACATCTTAAATGCGTGAGAGCAATGAGGTGGCCTTTGCCAATGTGATCTTCACAAGCAGGAACTTAGAGTAGCATGTTTGGTGAAAAGTTAAACACACAAAGTTAATGTGTTTATGAATGTAGGAGTGAAAAAAAAATTACTGTGTCGGTGCCTGATTTCAGTCCCTCTGCAATCGCAAGCTCTCGGATGGCTTTATAGAACATCTGCTCTGCATACTCCCACTCCTCTTAGTTCAGACAACTGTGACAAACTTTAGACCTTCAGTGAAGAGCCAAACTAGAAACACAGCCAACACATGAAGACAGGAGCAATCGAGGGCAATATTAGGGATTTTAGAGTTCTAAAGTGTTAGAAGTAGGATTGTTAAATGTTCATTTGAGTGAAAGGGACAAAGGGCACAAGTTCTAAAACACTTGTTAATTTTTTTTTCAAGAGGAGTACGAATTAATTGATGGTAGTCTTTAAAATAACATTCATCAACATTTAAATATTAAGGTTTTATATGAGGTAACAGCTTAAAATATAAATTTGCGTTAGAAAAGTCCTCACTGAATGAAAGGCTGAGAAGGGGTTCAAAGAGACTGATATTTTGGTGGGATCACTGAGTTTTTAACTCGCTATCTTGTCTGGCCTTTTCTTTGTTCCACTATAAAAGCAAACCTAGGGCATTAAGTTGTATTTCTCACTAGTATATGAAAAATTGTTTCTATCTACCTTGATACTAGCTCAGGAGTAAAAGCATTTAAATGTGAAAATAGTTTTTCTGAAGGCTGAATATTGCATCTCCTCCATTATCAGCAATCCCTCATGTGAAGTGAAAGCTACCGAACTGAAGAGTAACGTGTGTGAGACATGCAGTGTGTTCTCTTTCAGACCTGACACTCAGCATCGAGGCCCTGCTGCTCATTCAGAGAATGATCTTCCAGAGCAAGAGGAAGAAATCCTGGGATCAGATGACGATGAACAAGAGGATCCAAATGATTACTGTAAAGGTGAGAACTTGCCAGTTTAAGGTGCAGAATTTTCAATGTAACGAAGAAATTCCCTCCCTTTCCCATCTACTATAGAGAATGAAAAGAGACTCCCTCTTACTTAAAGTGTTTTTTGAAACTGCATGACATTTTTCAAGCTAACCTGAAATGGAAAAACTGTTCTCCAAGGTTCCCTCTGTTATCAGTCAAGATTTGAATTGGAGAGCTGTTTTTAATGTGTGTGTTCAAAGCTGTTAGCTTTTTCTCTGTGCCAGAGGGCTTTCAAAATTGGTAAAAACAAGTAGGCATTCAATTTCTTTTTGATTTTCATCAGAAAAATGACAACTTCAAATCCTTCAAATCAGTTTCAAATTCTTCACTGTTTTCTTTTGAAGATCATAATCTTAGTATCCATTGTTCAGATAACTTTGTGTCTGCAAATATAGTCTTCCACTGTTTCTCTGAGTAGAAACTAAATACAGAGTGAGTGGAAATACTACAGTATATAATTCAATATCTAAAGGGTCAGGCTGTTTTTTAACATAGCAAATACTTTAAAAAAGACGTAACACTGATCATACAAATTCAACTGATCAATTAGTTGAAGCTTGAATGTGTGCCACCACCTCCAAGTGCTTTGTAAGATTACTTCTGTGATACTATTTATTGTATATATTGAATAAGACAAAGGGATGAGCATATAACAAATGCCATATATGTGTATAAAAAAAGGCAAAGTAGAAATAGCACAGGGAACTTCAGTTGCAATGTTTCTTACACTTCAGTGCTTTACTTCAAAGCATTTATGTTACTTTTAGCATGCTATCCAAATATTTGTGGGATTTTGTTTGTTGTAAAGCCAGTGGGAAGAAGAAAGCCATTGTGTGAATTAGCAATTGGTGCAGCTGTCACTGTTGTAACTGAAATCTTTAAGTGAAGAAAAGAGGCTTCTGCTGCTTGAGCTAATGAAGTAATGGATAGCAATTCTATGTCTTGTTTGTGAACCGGTCAATCAAGAGAGATTAATCTTCCTGGCAAAGCATGCATTTCATGGGTGGTATTTGCTGACCACAACTGAATAGTAAGAGCCTGGAATCTAGGGTGTAATTCCAGGTTCTGGCAAAAATTTATACCTTAACAATTACAGATTCTTCTCTTCATTCGGTTTTCTGCCGGTTCCCTTGTGTCTTTGTCTGGCTTTTCACGTCTTCACTTCCATCATGGAGTCTTCCTGCATAGTCAGCAGCTGAGAGATACTAGGGCTATGGGCAGGAGACTTTTCAGTTTCCAGTGGCGATGTTAAATGGCAATGTGCCTTTCAGTCAGGAAAGCAGTTGCATGGGAAACTCTGTTGGGATCTTGGGTTCAGTACTCTTTCACGTTACAGGGATAGAGCATGCAAAAGCAATGCTGATATTTAGCTGTAAGATTCTATTACTGAGCGTCATAAGCTGTGTTTTCCAAAGGTGGTCAGCCTAGCAGACTTCAGATGCTTTCACTGAGAAAATAATCTTTTGTGATGCTGCAGTGATGACCTACAATGAAAAGGAGGAAAAGTCAGTCATTTTAGTTCAGTTATATTAAAAAGATACTTTTCAGTCAACTAGAGGGCTGTTAACAGCTCTTCCTCTGACATACTGTATATTTGTTCTAGCAAGATCCAATTAAAGAAACATTTTGCATTTGTTTATATGATTAAAAATTTAAACACATCAAATAAGTCTGCCTCAAGTTGTGATGCTTGTTCCACATACCTGCCCTTCAGCACTTGTGTGATCTCTTGGTATATAAACTTCCCACTGTTTTTCTAGGTGGTTATCACCTTGTGAAAATAGGAGATCTCTTTAATGGACGATACCATGTGATTCGGAAGCTTGGATGGGGCCACTTCTCCACTGTGTGGCTAGCTTGGGATATCCAGTAAGTCCTTCTGATCTAGTTAGTGTTTCTGGTGGGAATGTACAGCATTGCACAAACATGATCAGAAGGCATCTTTTTACTTTTAGATAAAAACACAAAACATAGCTGTCCACATCCTGATACAGAAGTTTCTTCTGATATTGTGCATGCAAGTGTGTGGGAGGGAGTTAACAGGACAAACCATATATGTGGAAAGACTGCTCTTGTGTTCAGCAGTCTCTGACCTATTATTTCATTTTGAGAAATGACTAACATGGATGTCCTATAAAAAGAGACCCAAAGACAGTCTTCATGAGTGCTTAAACCTTATTTTTTCCATGATGCCTTAAATATGTAGCACTTTTTTCTGTGCAAAGGAATCAGGATAATCCTGGAGAATAAGTTCTTTGTATGAGTGTTAACAGTCTCCAATTTACTTACCATGTATGCGTAGAGGGAGGAGATTTGTGGCAATGAAGGTGGTGAAGAGTGCAGAGCACTACACAGAAACAGCACTGGATGAAATCAAGTTGCTAAAATCGGTGAGTGCCTGAGAGAGGCGTTCAGTTTTTTTAAATTAATTTTGGAGAGTTCACATTAGTCACGTGCTTGATATTTCTGGATCATCTAGCTGCAAAGAATTTGGATAGGAACCTAACAGTAGTGCTGTAGATCTGGCTTCAAAATATATTCTTGCCTGGTAATTACCTCAAGGAACATAAAATTAATCCTCTTTTTCTCTGCAGGTCCGCAACAGTGATCCAAATGATCCAAGTAAAGAGAGAGTTGTTCAGTTATTAGATGACTTCAAGATTTCAGGAGTTAATGGTTCTCGTATCCTTTTGTGGAATAAAGGCAAAGAATTGCATAAAGATGGGAGTTTGCTGGATAGCCATCATGTTGGGGCTGGTGAGCAATGCCCAGGCATCCCTTTCGCTGCCCAAGGAAACCTGCTGTAGAATCATCTGCCTCAAAACTGCCTGCTAAGCTCAGATCCAGAATGATCAGTCAATCTGACATAATATGCATTAAGTCATGGAGATGGTACTGCTTATTCGTGCTTGAGATATGAGAGATGGGGTCGCTGCATCTGATGTGTGAATCAGGACTGAATGGCTTAGTGTCCAAGATACCTTTGTGGTAAGAGAGCCCATCTCTCTCAACGCCTCAATTTTGCAAGCAGCAAGTAAACCAGTACAAAATGTTAAGATGAGTAATTAAAAATAGCAAACACATGCAGTCTATAACTTGATAATAAGGTGGTTTTCCAGTTACAGAAGCATCTTACCTTGGACTATATAAACATTGTTAGGATGTTTAAAGTGTATTGCTTTGAAAATCCCCTGTAGTTCTGTGAACAGCCTTCTAATAGGCAGCAATTTCTGGCAAGTCCTAATAATGCATCATTAAAATTTTTAAGTTTGTCTTTCGTGGATGTTTCTGCTTTGCAGTACCTTGAATTTTATTTCAGTGAGAATTACTAGGCTGCTTAAGAGAATCGAGCTGTAGGTTATAAATGTTCTAACGCTTTTAGAAAACAGTAGCTCCGTAATGTATTTCCTCTAACTTTTTCCTGGTACATAGCACCGAGTAAACATTGACTTGATCTTGTATTTCTTTCACTCTTGTGAAATGCATGCTTTCTGCCAGTGTAGAAGAAAAGCAGCCTAATAAACTCCTAGAAGTTTGACTTCTAAAGAAAAGGCATAATACTGAATATGTCACTAGAGTGACTGTAGCTGTTGAGGTCTTATAGACATAAAGCAGATAATGTAAATATTGCTGAAGTCCAGGCTTGTCAAAAGTTTGTTTTGCTGGTAAAGAGGCAAGGGAGGGTGGAGAAAGTAACTCAGTTGTTCTAAAGATGACTTATGAAATGGAAATTTTATTATCTTTTCAGGTAATGCTGGTACAGAGAGGTCTGGCATTGAGTTTTGCCTGGGGCAAGAGCCTAGGCTGTTCCAAAATGTACATTGTTGGCTTGAAGCTGTCTCAATACTAGCAGGAAATACTAATACACACTTGCTTGTGTAACTGGCTTCCACTCAAAGCAGGAGATTGCTGCTACTGCTGCATTAGGACCATTGTCCTACCCAACTCGATCCTTCTGTATTTTAGGTTTTAGATAACAACACTGATGTGTAGGATAGGGTGGTGCTGTTAAGGAAGGCAGCTTCTAAGCTGTGTCAGAAGGATGAGGGTTCTTCAATATAAAACGCTTAACTGGTATGGATTTCTTTTGATCCTCAGTCTTGGGAATTCAGGACTCCTTGGGTCAGACTGTCCATATTTTTCCTTGACTGAGTTCCAGATATTTGTATGGTGTTTGAAGTTCTAGGGCATCATCTCCTGAAGTGGATCATCAAGTCAAATTATCAGGGGCTTCCGCTCCCTTGTGTCAAAAAGATCATCAAACAGGTAAGTTCCAGTTCTGACTGCACTGTTCCCCTCGACCCGGTGAGAACTCTCTCACTAATCTTTCTTAGATCCAAGAAAACAAAAGTTAAAAATCTGGTATTTCCTGCATGCAACCAAATCATTCTTGGGTTAATATTTCCTTCCTCTACTGCAAAAGCCTTCTGCTACAGATATTTATTTTCTGACACTTAAACCATGACGGAAGGCCAGCTTTGCTTTTAATCTCTCTTACCCTTGTTATTCCTCATAAGTGCAAGTATTTTTTAAAAACTCTGTCACAGTAAGTACAGTGCTTAATGATGGGAAGAGCAAGAGAAACCTGTTCTTCCTACTGGATGGTTGCCTAAGAAGAAATATCTTTCTACATGTGAGGTGGAAGGGAGGAGGAAAACATGATTTTATTGTAGGGTATTAAGATTAGGCTTTCAACTGTAGTAAGTTAAGTTATGAAGGTAAAGAGACAGTATTGTAAATTCAGAGCTGAAATCTGTATGTGAATCTATATTTTCTGGAACTGCGTAGTAACCACTAATCACATTAGCTCTAATCTGGAGTATTCTCAAAGACAGAAGTCATTCAGGTTTATTGGTCACCCTAGACAACGTATTGGTCATCATAGGCAATTTTGCATTTTCACTTCACTCTCAATTTACTCATTCTCTGCTTTTTCTAATGATTGATTTCCTTCTCTCCTGTCTGCAGGTTCTTCAGGGCCTGGATTACTTGCACACAAAATGTCGAATTATTCATACGGATATTAAACCTGAGAACATTCTTCTGTGTGTTAACGACCAGTATATCCGCAGGCTGGCTGCAGAAGCAACAGAGTGGCAGAGATCTGGGGCTCCCCCACCATCTGGCTCTGCAGGTGCTTTTTTCCTGAGAATTTGGCTCCCTCAGGCCCCCAAATCATAACTGATCTCACTAGGGAACACTTCCTAATTGAGTACAGTGGAACAATAATGCAAATAACCTCTGAAAAGCCAACTGGAAATTGTGAAGTTAGTTATAAGTTGTAAACTCAAAGATGATCAGGAAGGCAGTCATTTGCATAAGAAAAATGGAGGGAGGATTACATGCATGCTGGCACCTGCTTCTAACACAGCTCATCTGGCACTGATGAAGTGGTAGGGCAATCAGTCTTATATAGCACACCCCTGCATAAATGCTAATGCACTCAAAATAGCGCTGGAGTGAAAATGTGGTGAGGTACAGATTTTCTTCAAAAGTTAATTTTCTTTCTTTGTGTGATGCTGGAAATGCATTTCATTAAGGTCTCAACAAAATCATTTCCCTGTTTTCAGTTTGCAGAAGTCCTAAAAAATTGTAACAGAAACAGCTTCCTTGACATGCTAACATGCCTAAAGATCTGAGAGCAAATTTTCTCTTGTTCCTACTTCTTTGTGTTCCTCCTCACAATATCCATCTGTACCAGTGTGTAGTTTTTCAAGAACTACTGCAGTGTGTCTTACAGCACCAATGTTTAGCTGAGCCCATCATAGTATAGCTTAGCTCAGGGAAGCTCCCTTAACTTTGGTATTTTAATGTTTTGGTTTGCATTTTCTTTTCAGTAGAATGTGTAATGCATGCAGTAAATGAAGCTGCATGACAGGAAGTTTAAGTCTTTGATATCAGTCAAGCAAGTCTACTATCTGGAATGTTAATGATGCATCTACTCATTTAATGTTTTTCTCTTTTTTTTTTTTATTCTTTCTGTACTTTTGTAGAGAAATGAGCCTTCAAAATAACATTTGCTGATATCTTTACAATGTTGTTACCAAACCACATAGGAAAAAGCTTACATTAGGATAAGAATGCAGTTGCAGTTTTTGACTATAAGCATACTAATTTGCTGATCTTCCTTTCCCTTTCAGTGAGCACTGCACCACAGCCAAAACCAGTAAGTGTAATAGCTTTCATGCGTAAGCATCCATCTACTTACAGTATCTGCTGCATTGTTTGATAATGCAGTCAGCATTAAGGGAAAGCAACCTTATCGTATCAGAAGGAAAAGTCTGATTTGTGTTTGTCATAGACATAAGCATCAGGTTCAATGCTGTCTTGGAGATGTAAGTAGTACTAGCTCATATATCACCAGAACGAGTAGTCTTTTTGGTGGTCTCAAGGTCTGTTGTGAAGATGACTGTTGCCTGTAGAGTCTGAGATCCCTCATTTGGCAAATACTGTAGGTTTCTCAGGTCAGGACAGAAATGCACTGATAAGAGCCATAGACAACTGCTCCAAAAACCTTAATATTTGCTTTTTATCTGGGAGAAGAACTGTCTCCAGAGTTTTCATCCCAGGCTGCTTCCTCAGCTCTAAAATAAATTTAAAACTTGATGCATTTTAGCTTTATTGAAATATGAAATGCTAAGTCCAATTCCCCTGCTTCCTTCTGTGTAGGCTGACAAAATGTCAAAGAATAAAAAAAAGAAATTGAAAAAGAAGCAGAAACGGCAGGCTGAGTTGTTAGAGAAGCGAATGCAAGAGATAGAGGAAATGGAGAAGGAAGCAAGCCCTGGCCAGACACAGCCTGAAGAGGAGGAAGAAGCTCAGAGCCCTCTGGAAATGCTCGTAAAAGTTAGTCCATCAGAGGAAAATGTCAGCAAAAAGACAGGTATGGACCTAAAGTATTGCTAAAGTAGCATAGTGTTGTCCTTTCACTCATGCTGGCATGAGTAGAGTGAGCACCTTTAGTACAGGTGGCCATTGTCATTTAACCTGTTTGCGTTGTGTTCTACCCATCTAAAGAGGTTAGGAAATTTCCTGTTACAAGTTGAATTAATGAATGATTGTGTTCAGTTACATTTTGAGAACTACCTACTTCTGAGGGCTCCCTGAACAAGCCTCAGCTATTACTTTATTTAGACATATTGTGCTATCTTCTCCTTTTCCACTCTTCCAGCTGAAGTCATTGTACAAGAGCAATCTATTCTAATGGAAAGCAGCGTGGAAAAATCTGTAACGGAAATAAATTGCAATGGAGTGATACAAATGACAGACTTCCCAGACTCCGGCGGTCAAGGGTCTGTGCGACTTGAGGATGACCTTTGTAATGCCAATGACTGTGGCGATCACCCTCACACACAGAAGGAGAACTTCCATAGTTATAATTACAGTCAGCGTAATGGTGACTCAGAGAACAGACCTCAAGAAGCAATGTTGGACTCGTTCGTGCCCTTAGTTTCAGAAGATTCCATGTTGTGTCAGCCCACATCCAATGAAGAACGATCATTCAATGAGCAGGAGATTAACCATTTGCAAGAAAGCATCCGGACAGAAATACCTTCAGAGGATGAGAATGAGAATAATAGCCCGTCAGATGACAAAGGTATAAGAAGAACCCTGTGAGAAAGGACTCCTTTCTCCTTGATGTGGGAGAGTGGTGTTGCAACACTTCATCAGAGTATTAATAGAAACCTCTGTTTTGTAGGCTGAAGTGATCAGAACCACCTGTTTGAGACTTTTCCTGCCAGGAGTAATCAACCTGACAGTCCTACTCTGAGACATTTGCTGTTTGTAGCTTCCAATTGTAGTTGTACCTTAGTTTTGACTATTGAATGCATAAGTATTCCCACTTTTTAAAAGTACCTATGCATTTGTTTTTCAGTATAAGAACATTCCCTCCTTTGTATCAGGTGTTGCTTATGTGATTTTCATTAATAGTTAGAAATGTAAGTCTACAAATTGTCACTGGCTGTTAAATTATGGGATAAGTACTGTTCAGTGTGTTCTGATAGTTTTGTTCTTAACATGGAACACAGGTAACTCCTCTCAGTTACTTGAGATGAATAAATGTTTTCCCAGAACTGGAAATGCAGCGTGACTGAAACAAAGCTTATACAGCATAGGAAAAAAAACTTCTCCAATGCTTTTGTTTAAATATAATTTGTTGGGGGAGGGGGAGGGGGGGAACTGTAAGTCTTGTAGGTTTAGGAGAACATAAGACATGCAATAGTGTACAGCAGTTTAAACGCATTCCAGGTGTGTGTGTGTGTTAAAAACTTGAATCAATTGATAAAAGTGTCCTTTTTTGCATCTTTGAGTTAAGGTCAGGTGAAGCATATCTGCTTGGAGAAGGAGGGAGAAGCTAACATTTGTACTTCTTTTTTAAAGAAATTTCTGTAGCATTTCCTTGGCAGAGTACTGCTGGGGAGTTATATAGATGAAAAGTAGCGAGTGAAATTTAAAGATTTTGAAACTTGAACTGCGTTTAGTTGGATGCCCCTGCTAGATAACTAGGTGTATCTTGCTTCTCACAGCTCCCTCCCAAATTGCTTTAGAGCTACAGCTGGATGTAATTTAGTGACTCAATATTTTTGCTCTCTCTTGACAATGCTGTGTCATTGAGATTTTCCCAATATATACTTTAGCTCTTGTAACCGTCTGTGTTGCAGCAGTGAGTGATGGGTATGTCAAAAAGATGCTATAATATGTAGACTCTCCTTCTTCAAAGATTTAGGAAGACATAAGGGTTGAGAGGCTTGTTTTGTTTCTGGCAATGCCCTTATTTAAAAAGCCTGTCTAGATGTAGATGGGCTGGGAAACAGTCACTGTTGCATATGCTTACTTGTCCTTCTGCTTTGTAACACCAGTTGGGTCTTAATGGTGTAGCTCTGGTGTTCATAGTGCAGACTGGTGCTAATTTTTATACCTAGGCTTTGGGGAGGGGAAAGTTCAGATCCGTAAGCAAAACTCTTCCTGGGTAGGGAGAGGGCAATAGGATTTGGATGACAGATGGTGACACTGTCTGTGTAACCTTAATCAGCTGTTGTACATGTTGCCTCTAGGAAAATCAACTGCTGGGAATTTCCTTCTTAATCCTCTTGAGCCCAAGAATGCAGATAAGCTCAAAGTGAAGATAGCTGACCTAGGAAATGCCTGCTGGGTGGTAAGTTTACAGTCTTTTCACATTGACTGTTTAAACCTGCTAATTCATTCGCAGTATGCCAAGATGGAAAAGAATCTGTAAAATAGAATCTATCTTAGACCTGTCTGTGAAAGTGGTGACAGTTTGAAACTATGTTGGGGAAAAGAGGGGGGAGCAGGGACACAAAGAAGGAAATGGTCCTTAACATAGGATTTCAGCCTGTGTTCTGGGTGCCTCACTGGTCATTAGATTACCTCTGATAGGCCTGTGAACAGTGTCACATGTAATGTGTAGAAGTCTGCATGTGTGAAACTTCTGAAGGGTCTGTAGCTCTCCTGCAGAATGAGAAAGTTGCAAGCAATTGCTTTGATGTGCTAGTTGTGTAGTTTATCATCTTGTCAAACCGTTTCAGTGGATTCACGAGCACATGAAAGAGACTCATAAATAGTTTTATTCTTTGATGGTTGTGCTGTGCTGCTTTTAAATGTTTGACATTTCAAATAGAAGAAACTTCTATTTTGCTTGTCTTAAATGGCAAAATACTTCAGATCTTACGGGAGAGATGAGTCTCAAACTCAGAATTGCACATCAGGCTTGCAGCCATCTGGCAAGGTGGTCTCTTACATTGGTGTTGCTTTAAGGTAGCTGAATCATGGCCTATCTGTCATGATTGGATAGGAGAGGATGCAGCTTCTGAAACAGTCTTCCCGTATTCTATTTCTGTGGCTTGCTTTCCTCTAAATTGCTGGACTGTTTTACTTGAGGAGTGTGTCATGTAGAGCATTTAAACAGTACTTGTAGGAATATAAGGAAATATTTAATGAGGATATAAAATTCAGATGAAATGTAATGGGAATGAGCTTTGATCTGCTCTGGCCTTCCAGGTTGTTGATTCTCCTCTTTTAAACAGTCTCTAACTGTTTACTAAAAATATTTCTTCTATTTAGCACAAGCACTTCACTGAAGACATCCAGACAAGACAGTACCGATCCTTGGAGGTATTGATAGGATCGGGGTATAATACCCCTGCTGACATCTGGAGCACGGCATGTATGGTGAGTGGTGTCATCCGGGGGATTTTAAACTGTTTCTGCAGAGCATTCTGGGAAACTCGTGTGTGCTGTGCACTCTGGACTGCTGAGTCACTAGCCAAGCCTGGCAAAAAACCCTCACAGGTGTTCAGCCAGCTTCCAGACTTGCTGAATACCAAGTTTCCATACCAAAGTTGCTTTTTTTTTTTGCCATGTGTGGCTTTCGTTTTGAAAGTTAGTTTTGTTGTACAGCACCGTCAGATTTCAAATATGATTGTATTTTGTCATCACGCTTTGTGGAAAAATGAGACAACTATGCAATTCTGAAGACAGAATCTTTTTATATAAAGAGCCTTTCTGCTGCATCCAGCACTGTTTCATAGATGTCTTCTTCAGTATAATTTAATATTTTAATCATATGCATCCTCTGCATGTTTGGAATGATTTTATAATCTGAGTAATGCTGAGATGAGGCTGAAGCTGTTCCTGTAATAGCTGGCAAATGTAGACTATGGCAATTAAAAAAAAAAATCAGTCTAGTCTGTTACTGCGTGTGCCTCTTTGGTGTCTCCGTTCTGTGTTTTCTACAAATCAAAGCTTGGTTTTTCTATTTTAAGCTTGGAAAATAGTGAGCAAAATCATTTTCACTGTCTTGGAAAACAAACTGTGATTTTTGATGAATGTGGTAAAAGAGAATGCTATGGGGTCGTGTTGACTCTGCATAACGCGTGGCCAAAATTACACAGTGGTTACTCTGAGTGCCTGGTTCAATAGTTTGACAACAGCAGTCTGTAAAGAAAACTAAGAATATAGAAGGTCAGAGGTACTGTTTTGAGTACAAGTGAATATGTAAAGGGTAAATGTGTCATGGAATTTAGGAGTGGTGAGTTGAAATGAATGCAAATGTTTTTCTCATTTAGAGCATGTTTTTGTATCTACAGACAAATGTTCAGAGATTAACTGTTTGAAAAATGTCTTTAATATCTGAAATTTGGGGAGAGAGGAGAATCTTTGGGAAAAAAAAACAAAAACAAAAACAAAAAAAACACAGTAGAGTTTGGACATGACATCATTTTGCAAAATGCTGTTGAGGTGAAAGAGAGGCTAAGCATGTGAAATGCCTTAACTTTGTACAGTTTCACACAAGTGTACTGCATTATGCTGTGATCCAGAATTCATCATAGATATGCCTATGATGTTTTTTTTAATGCAGTCGTTAAAATGTTGCAAAGTAATTGCACATCTTAGGATGGTAATGGTGTACTAGAGTTTTGCAGGTTATTCTTCCCAGCGCTTTGCTTCTGGCCCACAGAGATATGCAGAATCAACCTGCAGCAAGTCTAACAGTGTGTGAAGTGTATTAAAGTGATTTAATGTGCTCATTTGTGTTTGTTTAGGCTTTTGAGTTAGCAACAGGAGACTATTTGTTCGAGCCTCATTCTGGGGAAGATTACTCACGGGATGAAGGTGTGTTTGTCTAATTCTTTCGTTTTTAAAATGGGACATGAAATACAATGGTTGCTTCTTCAGAATGAGCCTTCTCTTATGAGTTAGCAATGCAAAGACTCCTTGCAAAAAGATTGTTTACCGAAATCGGCACCAACTGTGCTTGAGCCTCTGTGGTAAAACACCATGCAATAAAGTCCATGTTCTTGTTCTGGTGTTTCCCATTCCTCTTACCACTGGATTTCTCTATCCTGCTTCTCAAACTGATCATGCCTCAAATTGCCCTTACCTTTTTTTCTCCTTGCCCCTTGACTTTGTTGTTGCTTAGCGTAATCTGATTTCAGGTGGATCTCAAAATAATTTTAAGGGAGATAATGTCTTTATTCTTATATCCCAGAGAAGGAAACTGGGGCATAGAGATGTGTGGATGGGTCTCATTGTCTTTTCTTTTGAAAAATGCAGATCACATTGCATTGATCATAGAACTTCTGGGGAAAATACCTCGCAAGCTCATTTTGGCAGGAAAATATTCCAAGGAGTTTTTCACCAAAAAAGGTAAAAGGAAACAAAGCAAATGTCACTTATCCCCTCATCCCCTGCTCCAAATACACAAGAGTACCTTGCTGGAAATACTAATTAACAATAGATGCTAGCAAAGATGCCTCTTTAAGTCTTTCCTTTGTTTTATGAAAGGCTTTCTCAGTAAAACTGCAGCTAAATATAAGGCATTCTTGTCTAACTGCTAAAAGTACCCTGCATCCTAGTACTTGACATCTTGGTGTAGATCAAATGCAGCAGGTAGAAAAACAGTACTGTAGATATTTCTTCAGACTTGATTTGGCTTTATTTAGCTGATCTTTGTCAACTAGAGGTGTTGACTCACTTTTGAAGTCTTCTCTAGACAACTTTGTTCCATTTCTAGCATGCCAGTCACCTAAATAGTGCCTTGCATCCTGAGCCATGTTGCTCAGGACACGTTATACCATTATCATAAAGCCCTAAATACCCCAGAAATGTACTGAGTCTCAAGAAGGAGGTTTTGACCTAGTTTAATACTTTTTTTTTTTTTTTTTTCATAAAACAAACCCTTTTTTGTTAGTACTATATTGCTTCCTCAAACAGTGCTGCATGTATTCCAAAGTCAATGGCACAGTGTTTATCTGTCATGTCAACCAGTATAACTGGTGATTTAATGAAGTTAAACAATATTTGCTGATACTGGATCAGAAATAGCAGAAGGGAAAAAAGAAGCCTTTAAGGAAGTACATTTCTAGAACAATCTTCAAAAGCAGATAGAAAAGGTGTGTTAGTATAACTTATTTCTTCCTTCAGCATGCCCTACCATTTTATACTCCCAATGCTCAACTATTCAGAACAGTTTCTGCATTCAGTCTGTCTTGTTTAGATGTTCGGCCTATTTTACTCAGCTGCTCTGTTCCCATGTCTTGCATTTAACCTGTCTGTCTTGGTTTTCAGGTGATCTGAAGCACATCACCAAACTGAAGCCCTGGGGCCTTTTTGAAGTCTTGGTGGAAAAATACGAGTGGTCCCAAGATGAGGCAGCTGCATTCACAGACTTCTTATTGCCGATGTTGGAGCTGATCCCAGAGAAACGAGCTACAGCAGCAGAGTGTCTCAGGCACCCCTGGCTTAACTCATAGAGGCTTCAACCCAATGCTACAGCACTACGCTCTGGTTTACAGCATAGTGTACACGTACCCAGCTGCCCCTTCCCAGATCCATTTTTTTTCCTTGTTCATTTTCAGTGTGAAGTTCTTCCTTCAAGGCTTCCAAGATTTTAGATAAATCTAACCTGTTCTGCTGAGTTTGCTTGTGTGACTCAATGGGGACTCTCCTCAGCCAGTGGCCGTCATCTGTGTTTTGCCTTGATTGGGCTTTGCCAAAGACTAATTGACTAGAATATGAAGTTTTTTTCTGAGTCTCCTTGCTGCTAATCACCGTGTGCTACAGATGCGAGCTCACCTGTGCTCAGATACGCTCCCTTAGCTAAATTGCAACTCTCCTTTCTTCATGAGGGGAATGTGAAGATCTGAATGCCTCCTTATCTCACTGACTCAGGAGTCAATTTCTTGCTGTTCATCCAGTAGCTAGCAATGGGGTGAGAAGTAACAGATGGCACCAAGGTGGTGCTAGTTCCTTGTAGAGCAAAGACCACCAAATCCTCCATCATTTTCTAGGTGTCTCCTGTATTCGTTGCTTTCCAGTCACATAACTTTTCTTTAGTTCTAGCTGCTTAGATCTTTTGAAAAGAGCTATTTAAACCTAGGTTTTAGTATCCTTTCTTTCTTCAAAGTGCCCTGCCCCTTTACTTTTTTTCCTTCCCCGTGCCAGATAGTCAAAATAGTTTCTGAACTTGGTGACATTTTCTACTTTAATGCCTGTGACTAAAAGGTGACAAGCAAAATGAGCAAAAGCTGGAACTGACTCAATGCACAATCTTCAGCATGCAGATGGGTGCACCCTTTGGCTGCAGAGAGGTAGCCTGTTGCAGGCAACTCTTCTGATGTTCTAGTGAGCTGTAAGATTTTTGGTTTTTATCCCTTACTGGCACTTTTTTGCCTTGCTTGAGGTGGTTGCTGTAACTGTGAGAGATTGGCTTTCACTGATGCAGTCTACTCTGGCTCTTAATTTTTGACCATTCACTTTTTCCCAAGAAAAGGGTGGCAGCCATGCTATAGCCCTTGACTTTCAAAATCAACACTTAAAGGCCTGGTGTAAAGATTTCTTTTCCTTTAACTTGCTTCAGGTGCTGGCCTTCAGAAATAACTTCCTGGGATGGGACTGCCTTTTATTTTCTGGGCTGTTAGCACAAGGAGAGCTAGCAGAAGTGGAACAGAACTGACTTTTCCATGTAGATACTGGATTAGAAGCTGTTTCTAGAGTTACCCCAAGTAAAATTTTCTGTGGGGTTTCTATATAAACTTCTCGGAGGGGGTTGGATATAATGAGTAAATGGGTTAATTTTAATTAAAAGTTAAATCACTGTGGCACTTGATAGTTTTATGATGGCTTCTTTTAGACTTGCCCATCCTATTACAGATTCAGTGCATCCTACTCTACTCTAAAGCAAAATTTGGCAATGTTGAGACTTCAGAGGCACTTCCTTACCCTGGACCAAACAGGCCTTTGGATTCATGGTGGCTCTCAGAGGATAGAAGTTGCTGCAGGAGCATGCTGGAGGCCACACAGAGATGCTATCCGAGATGATTACATTGCCAAAGCTGCCAAGACCACTATTATGTGTCGCTTCTGTATGTGTGTCTGGAAATCCTGGTTCGTAAGGATTGTTCATTCATAAACCTTGGTGTCATTTAATCCACTTGAAAAGAGTTTCTCCAGTCCAGTGTCTGATTGGGCTTATTAATGCAATCATGCTGCATGTTCTTTTAGGGGTAGATCAGGTTCTCTATGCATATAATCTAAAATTAAAGGAAGGTAACCTACCAAAAGAGTTTTAAACTGTTGATTTGACTTTTTTTTTCCTTTCAGCTGGAGTTTTCCAGTTGTGTGTCACTTCCATATCTGTTACAGGAGGACTGCAGACAGGACTGGGTTCCAAAATACCTACTGTCTACATACTGTGAAGATACGTTGGCAGGGCAAACAACTTCTGTTGTCTTGAAAGCTCACCCGGTCCTGTGTACTTGAGACTGGCTGATTAAAGAACTTTTCCTAGAAGGGGTCTGCATACTTCAACTCTGAGAGCTCCTTCCGTCCTTCCCTGCCCTCTGCCACCCCTGACTGGAGGAGGAGGTTTTTTACTGTGATAGCCAACGCTAGAGCCAGCTTTGTGAGTTGAAGACCAGCAGAAGCAGCTGTCAGGATTCAGTCTTGTACTGTGTGCTCGTTAACTTGGGGTTTGTTAAATTTCCAAATTGCCGTAAAGTGCTCACACTAAAGGATTTATACTTGCTGTGTCAGTCTAAAACCTGAAGGAAAATACATTTTTATTCTTTCTACTTGGGTGCTTTGTCTTTTTTCCTTTGTGAAAGCCATACAATAAACAGTTTATTTAATAACTGAGCCCTATTCCTCATATGTTCCCTCTGCAAGTCTGTTCTTTCTGAGCTACTGGCCCATTGATTGAATTTTCTTTGCTAGTGAGCACTTAGTTTTCATTTCCAGAATGAGACGTAGGGAGATGGTGTAGGTGAAGATTTTGTTGCTGGTATTGTGATCTATTTTAAAAGAGGGAGAAGAGTAGTCAATGGCAGAGCAGTTCTGCTGGAATTTTTCCATTCTAAAAATATGTTTTTCTCACAGTCTCTCATCTCTCTGCTGTCTTCCCTAGTAAAGACTCTTAACAAAACCTTCCCAAACACTTTTTTTTATAGGGAAGCATAAAACTGGAATGTGCTTGTTAGAACTGAATTGAATTGACTGCTGCAGGAACCAAAAAATTACAGCAAGTAGAAACGAAAAATCATAATACAGGCTAATTTGGGGTTCTGACCAGGTAAGAGCTGGACAGGATGATGTGCTGCTTTGTCTTCTGCAAAAATGGACTGTGCTGAAGGCTGCCACAGGTGGGTGTTCGATATGATGAGAAATCATGGCTAAATTGGATTAATCGGCAGGTTACGGTGGTGCAGTGAGTTGATGCTGCCTGGCATCATCTGCTGCAGTTTGCAGGTCCTGTTACAGGCCTGCTGCAGCCTGGCAGATTCTGCCCTCCCCCCGCCCCGGAAAAGTGCCCTTTTTAAAAGGTGGTATTTGGTTATTGTTGCCCAGAGTGGGACGCTGATTCATGGCTTTGCTAGGAATTGGCTGTGTTGTATTTTTCAAGTACAAGGGTAACCTGGGACACAGCAGAGGACTTCTCCTGCTGTAAGAAGACTAGCACAAAATCCAAAACACTAACATTTTTTTATTCAGAAGTAATTTCCTTGAAAGAAGGTGTACAAACCCCAAGAAGCAGCAAATTGCCATCCCTCCCCTTTTCCCGAGGTTTGCTGATGGACTCAAAAAAACCTGTGTCCAGTTTGGGTTCTTCCCAACAAATAAACTCCATGAGAGCTGTGAGCTGATAGTGGCCCCTTAGGTGAAAAGAACAGTTGTAGAAGATCCACAGAAACTGGTAAGTTTAAAGCTCCTGGAAAAGTCATTTTAAAGAAAAGGGCTGTTTCTTGAAGCTGATGGAAGAAGAGTTCTAGGTGTCCCTGGGAAGAGAAAGAAAAGGTCAGCTGTTGCCAAATGGAGTATCACTTCAAATTTTAAGTTGGTGTTTGTTTTTTTGGTGTTTTTTTTTTTTTTTCTGGTCACTGGGCAAGGATTTATGTTCTCCTGGTTTCAGGAGGCAAAGCAAAGACTACTTCCCATTTAACCACAAATAAAACCAATGTGACACTAGCACCAAAATCCATACAGTTGTCAATCCTTTAGTAATCCTCAAAATAGCAGCATTACGTGTACTTGGAAGAAACATTAAAAATCACTGTGGGCATCACTTACGTGGTGATCAGCTCTGTCAGTCGTTGCCCTCTTCTGTAAAACAAAAAGAATTACTGTGTTAATGGAGTATAGGAATAACAACAAAGGTGCAGGTGTGTTTTCACCTACAGTGTGATGACCTTGACAGCTCTCCTGCTTCTCCCACTGGAGGAAGCCACCATCCTCCCAAATAACAGTACTCCCCTGCTGTGTGGAAACACTCTGCAGCAGGATGGGGGCTCTAAGCTCAGCTCCAGCTGTCTTTACCTTTATTTTCCACTTTAAAATCAGATGGGAGGAGGTTGTCCTGCCGGTTCCCCAACACAAAGGCCAGGAAGGAGAGTATGAGAGCATCAAGGATGCCAATGATGCAGAGGATGTATGCCCAGCGCACAGTGCAGGCACCCAGCGTGTACTTGTCTGTCTTGTCCCCGCACATGCGTTTCACCTCGCTCGAGTCCCAGCCATCGGGGTAGATTAGGCAGCCGATCATCAGCCCCGTAGCTGCAGGAAGAAGGAGATGGAGACATTACAGCGGCCACGAGCTACCTGCTGAGCCAATACTGCAGGTAGAGGAGTATGGCAGTGCTGCGTCCAGCCACAACCACAATGCTACAAAGAGAGAAAATACTATGGACCAGCTAACTAGGCCTAAAGGTTCCCTACGCCCTGCAGTTGCCCATCACACGGGCTCTGCTTTGTTCATGCTGCTGCAGCCAGGGAGGAGCAGGATATGGCATGCTGCTCCCCATCAAGGACATGCTGCAGCAGCATCTCCCATCACTGTGTTGCCCAGGCAACATCTCTCCTCTCCTGCCTCCGCATGCATCCCTGGCCATGTTGCTCCAAAGAAATATTTTCTCCCAACAAAACTGGGATGGATTTAGTCTGTGCAAGGTGGAGAACCTTGTTATTGCCCCATGCGGAGCTGGATATCAGCTTATGCTTTGCCAAGGTAGTGCCGCCCTCAGCAGCAGCTTTGCAGGCAGGTTAATTATGCTTGTTCAGCTGTGGTGATTCCAGCCCAGCCGTGAGCCACTGGCTCCTCCTGCAGCCGTTCCTGTTGCCCCACCCTGGCGCACACATGACCTCGACTGCCGCTCCAGCCCGGCTGCAGGGCCCTTGGCACGTCGCCCTTGCGGCTTTGCCATGGGAGTTGCGACAAACCCAGCGTGAGCTGCCGAAGGGATGTCTTCTGCCCAGCAGCTCATGTCCCAAAAGCTCAGAAGTGCTTTTTTTTCCCGCATGCTCAGAGAAATTGTTGTATTTGCTGGACAATAGTGACTGGGTTCGGCAGGAAGAAGAGCTGAGCTCATCTGCAAGGCTTTGGGATGTGATAAACGGAGACTCTTTGCATCCTCCACTGTTATCTTGGTGCAGAGCATGGAAGTAACTGGTCCTTCATATCTTTTCATGCAGGTGTGAGGACCTCTGAGGCTCCTCTCATGCCAGAAACAACCCCATGGTGGGAGCTCTGGATGAGCGGCCATTTGTCCCTGCCCTTTGTGGACATGCACAGCCTCCTGCAGCAGCAAGATGCTCCCTGCCCCATAGCAGTGCCTTTTCTCTGTCACTGGGTGTTTGGTAAACCAGAAGACAGTTTTGGGGTGGTTGCCTCACCCTTTGCCGATGTTTTTTTTTCCCTTGGTTTTGGGACAAGAGAGTGGCAAGGCCAGCGGGCAGCTTCCTAGGTCTGCAGAGAACATTTCTCTTCATTGCGAAGCAGCTGGTTTCTCTTGTATTTAATTACTCTTCCCTGTAGCTAACAGAGAGGAGGGGCATGGAGAAACAGGGGAAGCTGGAAAGAAATTGCTTCTCCTGTGAAAACACACCGTGGTGCGGAGCAAAGGCCAGAAAATAGATCCGTTTATCACCTGCCCCCTTCTTAAAATAACTCCCAGAAATGCAGCAGCACCTGCATTGCCTGGTGGCGGCGCGAAAGCTCCTGAGAGCCTGTCTGGTGCAGAGAAACTGGGCTGTAGGGGATGATTCAGGCTCATCCATGCAGCCGGAGCTGTCTGCGCCAGGTTTCTCTCCCCCATCCAGCACAAAAATGTATGTAAAAGCCCCAAATATGACAGCAAAGCCTTTCCCTGCTCCAACTCCCTGGGAGGCTGAGCTGCCCCAAGCCTCTTCTCTAAATCTTTGCTTGAGCTCATTTCTTTAGCAGGCAACTGGAGCAACCCCGATGCCACGGCTGTCCTCCCCCAGGGTTTCAGCCAGAGTATCTGGAGACGGCGGGGGCTGCGGCTGGTCCCGGCATGAATGATTCAAGAGCAGCAAAGGGCTGGGTTGGGTTTCAGCTGAGGCTTCAAATTCAGGAGCTGGGTTATTGGACATCTCGGGTGTCTTGCTGCGTTGCGGGGAGGAATGGGAAAGGCTGGAGATCCTCAGGGATGAGCGGAGGGATGTGAGGACGAGCGGAAAAGTAGGAAAATGTGGGTGATGATATCAAATCCTATAGTCAGTCCCCTCCTCCTGTTCCACCTCCCCAGTATCTTGTCCCCTGAGCTCAGGGAGTTACCAATTGCTGCAGGGGATATTGTAGGCACCAAATAACTCAGCAAACATTATCGCTGTATCCCTCATTAATTGCCGCAGGATCCCTAACACAGCAGGGAACCCTGTGCCCCAGCCCTGTGGCATTCGGGGCTCTCGGTCTGATACTCTGAAGCCACGACCCCGCTGCACCATGGGGCAGAGCAGAAGCAACGGCATTGTGCAATGGCCAGAGGAAAGCTCCCCCGGGTAAGCGGGGACAGGCCGTGGCTGGACTGTTGGTGCTGCATGGTTTTGCAGCAGCATCAGCGCACGGTGGGGAGCATCGCCCACACGTGGCAAGTCTGCTGGGTTTCAGCTGCTCTGACAGGTTTTACTTACTGCAGATTCCCCACTGGTAACGAGTAAGGGGGAGCAAATGGGGCACAGGGGTTATGCTGGTGTCCCTTTCCTGGCCACCATCCCCCCAGCAGAGTCGAGGTGGGGGCAGAGAGGGAAAAGCAGCTCTGGACAGACCACTGGCAGCCCCTGGCCCCCCAGTCATCACCCCCAGCCCCGCTCACCTGCCGCCAGCTGCATCCAGGCACAGACTTTATAGACGGTGGCTGCATTGCAGAAGAAGAAGAGGCTGAAGCAGAGGATGGAGCCGATAATGAGGAAGGTGGAGATACCTACAAAGAACATGGCAGTTTTGAAGGCACTGGAAGGGATGGTGCCGAAGTCGAGGGGGCTGCCCTTGCAGATGAGCTCGCCAGTGAGTGCATTGCCAATGCAGTAGGAGAAGAGGCCAAAGTAGCCGGCCTGCGGCGTGTCAATGCTGTCGCCGATCCAGTACGGCTGGATGAAGGTCACCACCATCAGGATGGAGAAGCAGAGGGTGAAGAGGGCCCAGAGCACCCCCATGGCCCGCGCGTTCCTCACGTAGTTGGTGTGGTAGATCCGTGCCGCCTCCTGCGCCGGCAGCAGCTTGGGCATCGCGGGGACACCGGCACCGCTCCCCGGGGCGCCCGGCGCTGCCCCGCCCCG